AATTGACTTATTTGAATAATTCTGTGGATTGGTAGGGTATTGAAACAACTTAGAAATAGTCAGGAACTATACCTGATCTGTTTGATAAGGAGGGTTGTTTGACTTGGAGATCTTCTCTGTGTGAGGAAAATGGGGAGGAAAACTTGTTGTTAGGTAATTCCAGGCCCTCCTGTAGATGTGAAGGCAGCATATAATGTTATTTTTAGGCCTTACCATAAGTATTCAGTAATTCATTATTAAGAATGATGTTATTCATCTTGCTGAAAAGATCTCTGTAAAGTCCTCTTTAACCTTTTCAGCAATATATTTTGTTCTGAAGTCTACTTTGATATTAATCTAGCCTTCTTTGGATTAGTGTTTGTACAGCCTGTTTTTTCATCTGTTTACTTTAACCTATATATATCTTTATATTTAGAGTAAATTTCTTGTATATAGCATAGAATTAGGTCTTACTTTCCCCCTCCCCCCTCGCCCCAATTCACTCTGTCAATCTCTGCCTTTTAATTGGAGTGTTTAGACCTGTGCTGTCCAATATGGTAGCTGCCGGCCATAAGTATCTACTGAGCACTTGAAATGTGGCTAATTCAGATTGAAATGTGCTGTCAGTAAAACACAAACCTGATTTTAAAGACATATTATGAAAAAATATATGAAATATTATAATTTTTGGCCAGGTGAGGTGGCTCACGCATATAATCCCAGCACTTTGGAAGGGCAAATCACTTGAGATCAGGAGTTCGGGACCATCTGGCCAACATGGTAAAACCCAGATTCTACTAAAAAAGATACAAAAATTAGCTGGGCACAGTGGTGCATGCTTGTAGTCCCAGCTACTTGGGAGGCTGAGGCAGGAGAATCACTTGAACCTGTGAAGCAGAGGTTGCAGTGAACAGAGATCATGCCACTGCACTCCAGCCTCAGTGACAGAGATTTCTCCAAAAAATAATCTGCTAAATATTTCCGAAGGACATAGAAGACTTAAATAGATGATAAGATACACCATGTACTTGGATAAAAGGACTCAATATCATAAAGATGTCATTTCTCCCTAAATCTATAAATTTACCAGAATTCTAATAAAATACCAGCAACATTATTATTATTTTTTTCTTTGCTTTTTTTATTTTTTGCAATTAGGCAAGCTGATTTAAAATTTTACATGGAAAGAGTAAACAAGAATAGCCTGTTTATTAAAGGGCAGATTAACAAGTGTGTCTTAAGAATATAAATGTTGGATGCGGTATGATTAAGTGGGTATGGGCACAGAAGTAAATGAGAACAAGGCTTGGAAATAAGTTTATCCCTGGAAGAGCCACAGGAGAAACACCAGGTTTTTGTCAGGTGTCGGAACAGAGGAGCAAGGGGAAATCTCAGGCCAAAGCCTTTATTGGGATTTCTGTTAGAAACACAAGGTAGAGCAAAGTAAACATTTAGGACTGGCTATTTTGAATACTTCTGGTGGGCTGTGGCTATAGAAATGGTCTCTAGCTACTTGGTACCTGGCCCTGGGATTGTTTTGGGGGTGGGGTGGGATAACCTTGGTTGGGTGGAGCGTTAGATATAGATGTGATTGGGTTGTGGACTCAGGATAGATTGGTTTGCATATGAAAGATGTCCTCCCACTGGTGGAACCTTTACTATCGCTAAGAATTGGCTAGCACTGGGAGGAACTCTCTTTTCCCAGGCCACAAACTTTTTAAGATGTCAGAACATAATAAAACACACAAAATTAAAAACATGATTAATACAAAGTGAGACTAGTCCTACCGAATATTTTAAAGGGCTATAACAGCTTAAACACAGTTTAATACTATTGCATGAATTTGTAGCTATATTAATGAAATGGAATAGAAAGCCCAGGAATCAGTACAAACAAATACCAGAATTAAATATATTATAAATGTTATACCTCAAATCAATGGAGAGAAAATGTGCTGTTTATTCAATAACTGTTGTTTGGGCAACAGGATAACCCTATGGAAAAGATAAAGTTGGATCTGTATCTCCCACCTTACACCAATATAAACTCCATATGGATCAAAGATGTAAAAGTAAAATACGTAACCCTAAGAGATTGAGAAATCATAAAATAATTATTTTACAGTCTTGGCATAGGGCAATCTTTTTTAAGCAAACAAAAGTTAGAAGCCAAATAGAAAAGACTGATAACATTTTTAGGTGACCAGAACAACATAAGCAAAGTAGATATATAAGTGACAAACTGGATTAAAAAATATCTTTCCCTCTCTTCTCCTCACCTTATTTTTTATCTGTCTGACCCTTTTCGTCCTATAATATTCAGCTTAAGGGTCATTTCCTCCAGAAAGCCTTCTTAGATGCTCATCAAGATCATCTCTCTTTGGTGCTCCTCCACTTTGCTGAGCATGCCTGTGTCATTGCTCTTACCATATTGTTTGGATATTAATTGTAAACTGAATTTGTACACATTTATCCTTTCTTTCCAACTAGTTTGTGAACTTCAAAGGTATGGTATTTTTGATGTGAAAACTACATGATATACATAGATGCATTTCTTAGCATAATTTCAGTCTTCTCTGAGTCTGCTACTCTCTACCTGAAACTTTGTATAAGTCACTTAAACTCTCTGAGCCTCAATTTCATCTTCTGTACAAGAGGATATTAATACCAATTTCATAATGCTGATTTGAGAATGAGTTTGTGCATATAAAAACGTGATTATAACCTGAATATTTATGCCATTTAAGTTATAATCATGCTGTCATTCCATTCTGCATCTAACTTAGTGGCCAGGAACATGGAAGGTGTTATTTTAATAAATATATATGAAGGGAGTGGGTGAATCCTACAGGGTATATTTTGCTTGAAACAAGGCACCCTTGTGGTGGGTGGGTGTTTTCTGTAGAGACAGAAACCATAGGAGGTCTCTGGGAAAGACAGACCTCTAAGGGACATATGTATGGTAGCACGGGGAAACCAATTTCCAGGAGTGCATGTGGGGGACATTTTCCCCCCACTCACCATGCCGTGCTATTTCACATAACAAGGGAAGTCTCTGAGGCTCCAGTAGTAGTGAAGAAGTCGATACTCCCTCCTGCACTGCTTCCTGAGGAATAGCTGACACAGAGGAGACCTGAACCTGGTCCTGTCAGCAAGCTGGTTTTCCAGGCTTTTCATTTCCTTTGCCCAGTAGGCATTTGTCTATCAATTCTGTCTAACAAAACATTCTGCAGTGATGGAAATGTTCTATATATATATGTTGTCCAGTATGGCAGCCACTAGCCACATGTAGCTATTGAGAGCACTTGAAAAGTGGCTACTCTGATTAAATAACTGAGTTATAAATTTTACATAAAATTTAAATTGACCAATGTGGTTCAATTTAATAGTGTTATATTTGTCTCTTAATCCTTAGCACCTGCACAGAGCCTGACTCAGAAGAGGCATGGGGGATGTTTGCTTAAGTGAATTATTCTAAACTGTGCTCAATTCTTTGTTGACTGGATATATACTCATCAAATGCATTTTCATTCATCACCCTATTTGTGTCTTAGAGCAGCTCTTTGTGGTAGGCAGGCCCTTTGTCTCAATTTGTTGGAAGAGGAAACTGAGGCTCAATAAGTTTAAGTGATTTGCCCAAGATCATAAAGCTATAAGGTCAGTCAAAGTGACCCAAATATTTCTCTTTATTTTTCCAGCTCCCTATGCTTAATGTAGTTTTTTTGTTCTTCTTAGGCCTTAATGACTCCTCTGACTCAGAAATTCCCACAACCCTCACAGCCTTTACATAACTGTCATTAGGACTGTAGAAAGCAGATATATATTTATCTTGATAGTTGTGTGGACATGGCTTTTGAATTTTAAACTGTTCAAATGTGAGAGATAATTCTGGTAGATATTTTCATGTAACTTTCTGTAGAAGATTCTTATCCCTGATTTTAATGCAGTTGAATGGATAGTTTCATGCATGTGGCCAGCATCTTACTTAGAAGGCTTTCTGGTCCGTCTCTGCATTTCTGCCTCAAGACTTTTTCTCAAACTCTAGAAGTCTGCTCGGCCCTGGCAAGGATAACCAGGAAATGTGAGAGAGTTCAAAGGGGGAGGTGGAGAGTAACCCGTAATCAATGGAGACAGAAATTAGGAGATAAAAGCCCCAGCCTCCGTGTTCTTCAGTGGGACAATGGCAGGCGCACATTCCAGCCGTTTTTCAGAGTCTCCAGCAAGATTAAAAATAGTTGTCTACTAAAGCAACGAGCTCAATGACACATTTTTGTTAGCGTTTTCCCCCTTTCCCCTTTCACTCTCTCCGCCTCACTTCCTTTCAGATTACCATCATTTTCCATTAAGAAGACATTGACTGAGTACCTACTTTGTGTTATACACCGCACTTCACTATGGAGTATACAAAGATAAGAGATCAGCCCCAGGTATCAGAGAACTCATGGTCGAGAAGTAAATAATGCATAAAAGCATTTGGAAGAGAGGACATATACAGGGTACTGTGGGAGGGCAGAGCTGGTCAGGAAGGGTAATGTTCCAGGTTGGTCTTAGAAGATAATATGTGTCACTACTGAATGGTGAAAAGAACATCCCATATTTACTGAAAAATAAATCAGCAAAAAGGTAAGGTTTTTCTAGTTGAGAGTTGCTGCCAATCGCGGAGGAGCAAGGAGCCAGAGAACGCTTTGGGCCTGTGTGTGTTTGGGTTGGGGTGAGCACACAGTTGGTTTTCGATGCATTTCAGTTGAAGACAAGTCACGCCGGCAAGCCAAGAGAAGCTTTGGGAAATCAAGAAAACTGTCCTAGGTCCCCAAAGTTGAGCATCAACCACAGAAAAGCCAGTTTAGCTAACCTGGGCGATCAGTACGAGGACCCAGGCAGGAAAGTGCCATCCCTACAGACCTGGCCCCTACGCTCTAGGAGTGGCAGAGCCTGCTCATTTGCCAGGATGCGGTGGCTCCGTAGTGGGGGAGCAGCGTCGCGGAGCCAGTGTCCCGGCTCCCGACCCAGCTCGCACCGCGGGGGCGGGGCCTCAGACGCACGCTCCTCCCAGGCGTCCCTCCCGCGCTCAGCCGCGCGCCGGCCGCCCGCGCGCCGGCCGCCCGTTGCCCTGGCAACCGTCGTGCCGCGTCTTCTGAGGGAGCTCCTGTCAGCCTGCTGATCCCACCACCCGCTCCCTACTGCCCCGCGGTTTTCGCGTGGGCTCGGAGACTGAGGGACAACAAAAATGGCGGAGCGGAGCCAGACGGCGCCTGAGGCAGGTCTGTGGGGGCGGTTGATCTGGGGAAGGCTGAGGTGGTCAGGCTGTCCTGGGCCTCAGGGGGTAGGGGATTCGGGCATGGCTCTACTCCTGAAGAGGCGCCCCTGTATATGCGTGGTGGGTTATGACCTCAGGGTCAGGGGTCAAGGGAGGTGTGTACCCCTCTGAATGGCAGGCAGGGACTTTGAAGTCCAGGTGGTGGACGGGAGTGTGAGAGAGTGTGCAGACTTCTGAGGGAGCATGGGCCTGGTAGAGGCTGGGACCCGGAGAAGACACAGGACCCTAATCTTGGGATCACCTGTGGTGAAGGCTAATCCTAGGGCTAGGCTGTGTCATGGAAAGGGTGTATACAGCCCTGTGGGAGCATGGGAGAGATCCCTAAAAGGGGCATGATTTGGGCTGGGGATGGGAGTAGGAGGCTCTGACTCTAAAAAAGGAGCTATACGTGGAAGGTGTGTTACTTTAATATCAGACAGTGCCATGGAAGGGGGAGTTAGAATATTTGTGTTTGGGGATGTGCAGTGTTCTCAGGGTCACCCCAGTCACAGAGAAATTTATGCATATAATCTTGTATGAGTCCTTAAAATGACAAGAAGCCTTGAGGGGACACTCAGAGCCCCAGTCCTTTAGGAGCCTACTAAAGGAGGCTGGAGCCTGAGTGTGAGTGTATGTGGGATCAGTGAACTGAATGATCTTGAAGGTCATTCAGAATCACAAAGTGCATGTCCACACTTCTGTGGTTGGAAGATAGTCTTTAAGGGACAGGGAGACAGACAGGAAGAGAGACCCAAAATCCTATTCCTGAGGGGACCCCTTGTGCATATGGCTGGGCTTTGTGAGATACTGGCTTTAAGTGCCTTAGAAGAAAGCAAAGGTTTTTACAGTTTTGAGTATATGGGAGAGAGTTGCCTCTAAATGAGGCAGACCACTGAAGAATTGGATGTCATGGGATTACATGGGTGTGTGGGTAGAAAAGCAGTGATTTGGGATATGTGTGTAATGGGTGGTGGCAGTGGTATACATAACCTTGTATATGTGTCCTGATCAGGTATTATCATTACGAGAGTAATCCACTTGAATTATTTCAGTCCTGATGTGTGTATGTGTGTGTGTGTTTATAGCACATACACACCCCAGAAACTGGAACTGAAAACTATGACACCATCAGAAATGGTTCAAGGAACCATTAACTCTCAAGACCTTCATTATTTCCCTTTCTTTCATGGCATCTCTGTTTTACTGAGTAGCTCCTCTACTTGTAGTTTTAGCTCCCTCATAACTTGAACATGCTCATTCCTTTATTCATTCATCCACTCAGCAAATATTTATTGAGTGTTAACTATATGCCAGGCAATAAATTAGGCACTGGAAATTCCCTGCTTTGGATTATCTTGCCTTGTTCTTCTTTTTCCTTTTTTCTCATAGCATTTATTGCCTTTGAACATACTATTTAATTTACTAATCTTTTTTGCTTATTACCTGTCTCCTTCCACTACAATGTAAGCTCTATAAGGACATTGTTTTATCAACACCACATGTCTAGAATTGTTCTAAGTATAGTATGTTCTCAGTAAATATTTCTTAAATGAATAACTGAATTACTGATATTGTCTGGAAGTGATACTTTCGCTGAGATATGATAGGGATTGGATAATTGAAGAAGAGGGCAAAGAGAGATCCAGGCAGCAGGAAAACCATGTGCAAAGACCCCAAGGCAGGTGGAAAACTGATATGCTGTGTTTAAGGAACTGAAAGGAGACAAATGTGGGTACATGTCAGGCAATGGGAAGAGAGAAGAGGTAGGTTGAAGCCAGATCTTCCAGTACTTTGTAGACTATGATATGAATTTGGGCCAGAAATCCTAAGAATAATGGGAAGCCACTGAAGGCTTTTAAATGGGAGCATACCATGATTAGAATAATTAAAAAATAACTCTGGCTACAATGTGGAGAGTACAGAGGATACAAGAGTGCATATAGAGAGACCTTAGAAGGTAGCAGAGGATATGGAGAGAAGGAATTGAGAAATGCTTAGGAGATAAAATTAATAGGACTTAATGAAATATGAGGATGATGGAGAAGGAAGTATCAAAGGCTTCTCATTTTCTAATTGTGCAACTGGATAGTTAGTGGTGCCATTACTGGGATAGGGAGCATTGGAAGGGGCCTTGGCTAGGTGTGAGAAAAAAGATCATGAATTTGGTTTTAAATGTATGGAGATTGAGATATCTTTAGGACATCCAAATAAGCAGAATGATTGACAAGGCAATTGAATTTACAAGAAAAGTCTAAACTGGCATAGAGATAATTATTTTGACATAGAAATAATTACTCAAGCCATGGGTGTGGATGAAATTGCCTAGAGGGAGAAGAGGCCTGGGATGAAGTGTTTAGTAGCTGCAATATTTCAGTGCCTTCCAAAGGGACTGACCAGATCAGAGTACAACCAAAGGAAGGTTTCAAGATAAATGGAATACTCAATAGACTGAATGCTGTCAAGCAATGCAAAATGAAGGCTAAAAAACTAAATTTAGCAACAGAGAGGTCATTGGTAACATCGATTGTAGGAAATGGATGTTGGTGGAAAGCTAGGCCATTTAGGCAAATAAATGCCTCAGTCTTGGTTTAATTCAAATTTCCAAGAGAGAGAAGTTTTATTGACTCTCATCATCTTTTACCACTAAATCACAGTCCAGTGTCAGGATTTACTGTTTTTGGATTAGGTATCCAGCTATTGGTGCCTGAAGTCACTTGGTACAAAATATAGCCATCTGGTAATTTCTTATCTCACTTGAAATAGCTAACATTTATGAAATGTTTATTTTGTACCACACATTGTACTAAGTGCTTTATACATTTTACTTCAGTCTCATACCAACTCTCTAAGGTATTCCCTATGTTTTATATGAGGAGAAGTTTTAGCACAGAGAAGTTGACAACTTAATTAAGATCTGCAAAGAATTAGTAGAAGATTAATTCTACTTATCTTCTACTAAGTAAAGAATTAGTAGAAGATAATATTTGACAATTTAAATATTATCCAGATTCATGATTTGGCTTTCTATTTGTGTTACAACATACCACATTCTGAAGAAATCATAGCCATGATGAAAATTCCTGCCTTACAGGAAATATTCTAAGTTAAGCATATTCTAGCAAGGTGAAATGGAAAGAACTGGGCTTAGATCCTTGTATAAACTCTACTTCTGTGACTTATTAGATTTGGACCTTGGACTCAATTTTCTAATTTTCAGTTTCCTCATTTGTAAAATGGAGATGATATTTGCAGGATAATTGTGAATATTGGAAATAATATCCTTGAAGTGTTCAATAAATGTTATGTCCTTAGTTCACTTGAAGTTTGAATATAAAAAATTTCAAATTTATTACATATACTTTACATATAAAAGCAACTATATAAACATATAAGAAATTCTATTTTTTCTTCATTGGTTTTTCACTGCTTTGCTATCAGAAGAAAGGCAGACATTAAGTTTTAGAGAATGTAGAATTGTTACCTGAACTGTGTATCATGGGACTGGTCTCTATATGAGGTAGATTTTGAGGAATTTCTTGGAGGAATGAATAGATACTTAAGATATCTTAAGCATGCTTTTATATGTAAAGTATATGCAATGCATTTGAAATTTCTTATATTCAAGCTTCTTACAGAACATGTACATAGCTCCGTAAGAAGGTCAGATTTACAAAAAGGAAGTTTCTTCTTTTAAATCTTGTGCTTTGAAATGGGACACAATTGTCAGGACTTTTCTTTTTCCCTATAAATTTGATTATCAATACTAATAAAAAAGGAAAACTTTCAGTTAATTAAATGTAGGAGTATTAGTCTCATGCTAGATTGTACCTGCTTCTTTTTCTTAGCTTCATCTCCCTCTGTTTCAGCTATCATAAAAAGCTTTTGTTTTAATTAGCTGGTAAAATAATTTGTTTTTCTATTTTATCAGGTTATTTTGTGGAGGTCTATATAGACAGATTAAAAAAAATGATGCAGTCTGTTAAAATGGACTGTACCTTGATCACTCTCTGTGAAATAAATGGGTCTATTTTAAAAAGCAGTTCTACATGAATCTGAAACCAATTATGGACAGAATGTTGAAAATTTAAAAACCTTAGAAATGAGAATATTATTTGATAGCTTGTGTTAGTGGTTGGGCAAAGTAATAGTTAAACCTTTTTTGTTTTAGTTTTTGTATTTTTTAACTGGGAATAATAACAGCTACTTTTATGGTGAGAATTAGAGATAAGGTATGGAAAGTATACAATGTTTTATACTCCCAAAGAAATGATTTCTTAATTGGTGTGTGTGTGTGTGTGTGTGTGTGTGTGGCAGTGGGGGGGGGGGGTGGAGAGAGAGAGAGAGAGAGAGAGAGAGAGAGAAGGAGAGAGAGAGAGAAAGATAATATATTTTTCTCTTTTTTTTGAGATGGAGTTTTGCTCTTTTTTCCCAGGCTGGAGTGCAAGGCGATCTCGGCTCACCACAACCTCCGCCTCCTGGGTGTGAGCAATTCTTCTGCCTCAGCCTCCTGAGTAGCTGGGATTACAGGCGTGTGCAACCATGCCCAGCTAATTTTTTTTGTATTTTTGGAGAGACGAGGTTTCACTATGTTGATCAGGATGTTCTCGATCTCTTGACCTCGTGATCCACCCGCCTCGGCCTCCCAAAGTGCTGGGATTACAGGTGTGAGCCACCGTGCCCTGCCAATATATTTTTCTTAAACACATAGTAGAAAATCACCTTTAAAAGAAGAGGAAATCCAGGTCTGCAGTCCCTTATCTGGCAGGTTTGGATGCAAATATATTTCAGAACTCAGATTTCCTTTTATTATGGAAAGACAATACTGCATATGTACTGTCGATTACATAATACCCCCAATGGGGTATGAAATAGTACCATGTAATCAAGCATGCCAATATTACATTCACTGGTAATCCCAGCACTTTGGGAGGCCAAGGCAGACGGATCATGAAGTCAAGGGATTGA